CCCACACCCACACCCACACCCCACACCCACACCCCACACCCACACCCACATCCAAAAAACTTGCAGTACAGGTTCTCGAGGGTGCTCTTTTTAGTTGAATTCTTAAATAGAAGACGGAAATGAATTTGTTTGCACTTTATTTTTTTACCATGCAAGACAAATAATACAGAAAGAATTACCAGCATTGCACATCATTTTAATCTAGCAAATCGTGAAAAATATTACCAAGGTTTCAAGTTAACGCTGAAAAATGGAGTACTAATGCCAATGCCATTTTTACCTGCATTAAAGCCAACGCCGGCAACTGCTACGGATACATCTGTGGTCGAAAAGCCAACTCCTGTTGAAACATCTAGCCCAACACGCGCTTGAACATTCTCATGGTGTAGGGAAATAGCATTTAATTCAGCACCAGCTCCGGCAAACACTCCTTGCGTACCGTGAGTAACACATGCATAAGCACTTCCATGTGCAACATCTACACTACATTTATCAGAACCAAGTTTCACAATAGAACCTTCTGTATCAACACTTGCTTGCATTCCATGAAGCCCAACGGAAAGACTTCTACTGGCTTCGCCATGCAAAATCTTACCGACGTCGTCGGAGTATACTGAATCTTCCACAGAATCCCGACACTTCAGTATCTGACCAAATCGTGGCTGATAGATATGATCCAATCTAATATTGCTCTCGTGTCCATTGTCATGTAATGGATTATAGTTATATTTGTCACGATTGTTTTTATAAAACTGTAGTGCCATGCGATTTTTTTTGTCTGCAATGTGAATAAATAGCATCAAGGCGATGAACACAACCATATACAGTAAAACATCTCTTAAGTGGGTACCCTCAGAACCTTTTTAAAACGCCCACTTCAGGGAGGTTCGTGTCGTTTTCTATTCAGATCATTTCTGACTCTAGAAAAGGGCATAATGCAAGGCTTCACATTCGTGCTGCGGCCAGAAATTTTATCTTTAGTTTCCAACACATTTCGTCTTATCTTTGGTATTCTCTATCTAGAAATGAATCATCATTGTCGCATCACTCGTCATTATCTTTCGTGCAGTAATACAAGTTACCATGATCCGGAATAAACCAACATCGGATGACCTGGAAGATCGAAATATGTGCAGAATGGATCAGGTATCTTTTGAAAATGTTGTAGGCAGCAGGCACTTACAGAAGTCGATAAATTCTTGTTTGTAGACGCTAGTCGACCAGTCAAGGGAATAGGAGTTATGCGGATTGTTTTCAGGCGAGGGAATATGATGTTTCCTTAATTAGTTTGCCTTTTGAAAATTTAGAAAGTATAGGAGAACTCACATGTGAGTTCCTATCTCTGAGTGCTCAGACAATGCTGGAACCACATTCTCCTCGTAGCTATAACAGCATCACCTCCAAAAGCCTTATACTATTGTCCTAGAGACAGCAAAGCATGTTACCCAATAATCCGAAAACCTATGGTTGTGGAAACTAGAGCAGCATCGTTTTATAAAGGCAAATCTAAAGGTATCTTTAAAACTAAATATTAATTTGCCAAAAGCCAAAGTCTTATGATGTAAAATGCCGAAAGTCTACAGTCCTATACATCCTAATCGTGCTATGCTAAAAACCATTTGCCCCATGAACTTAATACTCAAAAAACTTCGAAGTTACCCAAACCCGAAATGAAGAATCCACCATTTCTGCATGTCCAAAGTGGGAACACTACAGAGATGTTTATCTTGGCGCCGTCCCGGCTCAATTTTTATTAGGAAGAACGCGCGAGGTTGTCGCGAAGGCTTTTCGTCGCCGTAGCGGCGCGGCCCCG